GGGTGGCCAGAGCCAGGTGGACCGACTGCCACGAAACGAATTGGGCGCGATATGCAGAAGCGTGAGCACCCACGGGACTGCAGGAGTACCAGGGTGGCCAAAGCCAGGTGGACCAACGGCCACGAATCGAATTGGATGCTAGTGAATTGGGCAGCAGAAGCTGCGGCGCGGCCAAAATGGCGCGTGGGGGCACCTCGATGTGGCCAGGGTAGCACCTCAGAGTGACCCAAGATGCCTGCCCAGGGCCTGGCGGGTGCGAGTGGTGGCGCCAGCAAAGTCGCACACTCGGGCCCAGGCTGGCAGGGATATTTTTTTGTTTTGCAGCCGCAGGCGGAAGCGCCAGCGGCGAGCAGTAGGCTGGCAGGGATACGCGAAGCGTGAAGAATTCCGTGTCTTAACATCTACGGTGAGCTCACGAAAATGAAGAAGCTCAATCAACTGAACCAACGCAGCTCGAGCTTCGCAGCAGTAGAAAGTGATGCCCATCTCTGGATAGTGTCATTCCCCACTCGACGGGTGAACGTGCAAACACGATGGACCACCAAGCGGCGAACTCCGCCGCCACCCCCCCGCCCCGTGCTGTTCCGCGTTTCACTTCCCCTCCTCTCTCCTCTCCGCTCTCCACTCCTCTCTTCTCTTCTCTCTCCTTCCCTTCGTTCCCCTCTACTCCTCCGCTTCCTTCTCCTTCTCTCCTCCCTCTCCCTCTCCTCTCCCCTTTCTGTTTTCCGCTCCTCCCCTCTCCCCAACTACCCCGATTCCCTCCCCCCCTCCTTTCCCTTCTCCCTCCCCTCCCCTCCCCCCCCTCTCCTCCACTCCCGCTCGCCTCACCCTCGCCCGGAGTCCCTCATGGCAATCACCTTCACGCGCTTCATCTTGGACACCTCGTCCTCGATGGGACCTGACAACTTTTAGGCACGCCCATCTTTTTTTCCTAGAGCTCATTCAGACGACCCAGAACACCTGCAGACGCCACCCGAGAGCCTCCGAAGGCCGCCGACACACCCTAGAACCGCCAACATCCTCGGACACTGCGTTCTCCAACACTAGCCCACTTTTCCTCCCACCTCCTTCTCCCCCCCCCCTGCAGTAGCAACTGGGTCAGAAGAGGAGGAGGAGGAGGAGCAGGAGGAGGAGGAGGAGGAGGAGGATGAGGAGGAGGAGGAGGTTGGAGCGTATGGGGGGCATCGTCTCCCAATGAACTATGGCCGACGCCGCCGCCTACGGCCACTGTGACCGAGGGGGAGCTCTACCGTTTTCAAGGCGGCCCGAGCCAAACTTTGGGCGGCCTCTGGGGAAAATGGGGCGGGGGGTCCTTCCTCTCTCGGTGGCCCAACCGGTACATATGGAAACCCATCGCTGTATATTGAAAGGCCTCGGGGTTCGGGTGGATCAAACCGAGAGCCAGGAGGGGGTCCATAAAAGGAGGTGCGGGAAGATCGAATCTGAAGGGAACTCTGGCGAGCAGAAAGATGGGCGAGCAACGGCAGTAGTGGTGCTGGAGTGACTCGCGGGCCCCGGGACCTCCCAGAACGCATCCCCCTTTATGCGGGTTGCGTATCCTGAACTCAGTGATCCACCCGCCCCCCGTTTCGGGAGGGGGAGGGGAAGGAGGAGGGGGAGGAGGGGGAGGAGGGGGAGGAGGGGGAGGGGGAGGGGGAGGGGAGGGGGAGGGAGGAGGAGAGGAGGAGGAGGAGGAGGAGGAGGAGGAGGAGGAGGGGAGGAGGAGGAGGAGGAGGAGGAGGAGGGAGGAGGAGGAGGAGGAGGAGGAGGAGGAGGAGGAGGAGGAGGAGGAGGAGGAGGCATCGCCGAGGCGACAGCCGCCCAGCCGATCGCCTCCGCGTCGGCAGCGTGGGCCCCCAAACCAGCGATGCAGACGGGGGGCCATCCTACTGATGAGGCGCTGGGGGGGAGGTGTCGAGGAGGGAGGAGTAGAGGAGGGAGGAGTAGAGGAGGGAGGAGGAGGAGGAGGAGGAGGAGGAGGAGGAGGAGGAGGAGGAGGAGGAGGAGGACCAGCATGCATCCTGAGAGAAGGAAGAGGGCGAGGACGAGGAGGGGACACCTTGGGCCAGACGCCGGGCGCAACGATCCCCCCCCCCACACACACACACGCTGGGCTGCCGCACTGGCAGCGAGGTCGGAGGCCCTCTCATCCTCGTCGTCGTCGTCGCCGCCGCTCATTCTCGGCGCCCACCGACGGCGTCGGCGTCGGCGTCGGCGTCGTCGTCGTCGGCGTCGTCGTCGGCGTCGTCGTCGTCGCCGTCGTCTTATCTCTCTCTCTCTCTCTTCTCTCTCGCTCTCCTCCTCCTCCTCCTCCTCCTCCTCGTTCTCTTCGTCCTCCTCCTCCTCCCGATCTCCTCCTCCCCCTTTCCCCTCCTGTCCTCTCCCTCTCCCTCCTCTCCTCTCCTCTCCTCTCCTCTCCTCTCCTCTCTTCTCCCCTCCACTCCACTCCACTCCACTCCTCTCTCCTCTCCTCTCTCTCCTCTCCTCTCTTCTCCTCTTCTCTCCTCTCCTCTCCTCTCCTCTCCTCTCCTCTTCTCTCCTCTCCTCTCCTCTCCTCTCCTCTCCTCTCCTCTCCTCTCCTCTCCTCTCCTCCTCTCCTCTCTCTCCTTTCCCTGTCTGATCCTCTTCAATCCTCCCCCCTCATCCCTCAGTCTCCTCTCCTCTCCTTTCTTTCCCTCCCTCCTGGTCTCCTCCCCTCCTTCTCCTCCATCCTCGGCCGCTAGGTCGGATGCCCTCGAGCACCTCAACGACCTCTCTGCTCTCCAGCTTTCGCACCGCCTCGCTGTCCGTCTTCAGCTCTTTGCTGAGGACGGACACCGTGACCACCTGGGCGCGGCGCGCGCGTGGGCAGGAGAATACCTCCTTCTGCTGTCGCCGTAGCTGCTGCTGCTGCTGCTGCTGCTGCTGCTGCTGCTGCTGCTGCTGCTGCTGCTGCTCACTCGTCGTGCTCTTGCCCCGCGGACGACCCCCCCGCAGCCCAGCCCGCCCTCCCCGCCCGGCAGGGACAAGGAATCTCACTGCCACTGCCGCCCTGGCAGGGGGGGGGGCGGGGAAGGGATCCGCTGACGTGCTGGAGCCGCGCAGGGTGCCCACGGGGGCGGCCAGGGAGGCACGCACCACCACCGCCCCGCCAGGAGGGCGCCCACGATACTCCTGCGCCGACCCTGGCAAGCAGCGGTGCAGATACAGCTGGTGCACCCCGACCCGCCGCCGCCCCCCGCCCCCCGCCCCCTTGGCGGTGGCGGCGGCAAGCGGTGATCCTCTCCCTTCCCGCGGGGGCTCCTGTCCGCGCCCCCCTTGGCCGCTGGCCCTCCTCTGGCCGCGCCCTCCCACCCCCCCCTTGTGGAGCCCCGCGGTTCGGCACGCGACGAGCGACTGCGACCCCCCACCTCGCCCAACCCCCAGGAGGGCCAAATGCCGCAGCCGCTCCAGCCCCGCCCTCTCCAGGAGGAGGAAGAGAGGAAGAGAAGGAGGGGGGGGGGTTCGGGGACCATGGGGTTTTGAAAGACTTCGTAGCAATCGTGGTCGAGAGCGGTGTCCGAGGCGGGCTTTTTGACTCACTGGCCGGAGCAGCGTGGCACCGTCCACGCTGCAAACACGTACGCCTCCGATGGGCCCGGCTGGAATTCGCTCCAAAACGGGACTCGAGGTTCTTGATTGCACCTGCACTTGGAACATCTGGGCTGTGAAGGGGGCGGCGCTTCCTGAAGACGACCGAGTGTTGAGAAGCGAGATTATCTTCTTTCCCAACGCAATGCTGGAGAAGGAGCCGGAAAGAAGGAGCAAGACAACTTAGGGGAGTGATCGCGAACAGAAAACGAAATTGCCAATCCTCAACGTGGGTGTCCAGGCCACTCCATGGAAGCACCAACAGCAAAACTGAATATCTGCGACAACACCCGTCGACGTGCCTCTTCCAATTTCTGGCACTTCCGTATCCGCGTCTGCGGCGGCGAGCCTGCAGACAAACCGCCCCAGATGCCCCCAAGGCAGGTCTCCAAGGCAGGCCCAGAGCGCTCCGAGGGCGCCGCATGGCCGCCTGAGGCGGACCTAAGATATAGAAAACGCCCTTCAAACCACAACGAATCAATCAGCATGTAAAAGCAGTACCAACTTTCTACGATGCGCAACAGACTCCGAGGCGAATCCAGCCGAGCCGTGGCGACGAGAGCCCCCATGGAGTTCCAGGACGCAGAGCACGAGGGAAGGGTGCGGCTCAGGGAATGGGGCGTGGCGTGCTGGGCCAGAACCAGCGGCGCGACACGCTGAGCAAGAACCTCCAGCCGCAACGCTATCGGTACGTGCTCCTCTTGTCTGGCCATCGCTCGGACGTCCATTTCCTGTGTTTTTTGTTCGGTTTCGTGCGTGGGTTTTCTCGCCAAATGATCAAGGATGCTCCTCGATGGTCCTCGCCGAGGAAAGAACGCACACGTCCGAGCGATGCCAGGTTGTCTGTCCAAACTCTCGCCCCATCTGCTGCCCAAACATGTCGGGGATCTTCTGACCCGGGTCAATCCAGACCCGGGTCAGCAAGAGACCAAAAAACTGCAATGCAGGAACAAAAAAAACTGCAACGCAGGTCTTCGCAAACCCGGGTCAGCCAATACGAGCGGCCGCCTCGCGGCCACGAGCGGCTCGCTAACCCGGGTCAGCCAGAGGGGCCTTCGCAGGATCCTGCAGGCTCCGGCGCTCTGGCGGACCCCGTTTGCGTTGACCCCCGTCTCAAGGCTCCCGAAGCATACCCTGCACGTGAGCTTCCGGGTCCCGAGACGACGCCTTCAAGTGCCCCTCCCGACGCCGCTCTGGAGAGCCCCCGGGCGCCCGGGAAAGGCCGCGGAGGCTCCAAAAAGTCGCATCGACAGGCCACGGGCAAGTCAGGCAGGTCCCACGGCGGCTCGCGACTGGCCCGAGTCGAAGACGAAGCCAGGGTTACAACGCCGTGCGAAGAGCAGCTGGCTTTTTCCTTTGTGCTCGCGCCCACACGCAAACACCCGACTTCAAGGTTCAATGCGGTGCCGATCTGTTTTTTCGAACTTCGCTGGTCGCACGATCAACATTGAAATTGGGAGGCTGGGGGGCTCACCAAACGCCAATTGCTTTTCGCACGGGGTTGAAGAGAATGAGGAGAAGAAGACGACGACGACCACGACGAGGCACGAGGAGGAAAAACAAAAACGCATGACGACGTAGTAGAAAGGACGACGACGATGACGACGAGGACGAGGATGTATTTCACGCGCCAGAGAAAAGAGAAGCACGCAGTACACACATGCGAAAAGAAGTCTTGTTTAAATCTACAGGCACACTTGCCGTCGACCTTTGAAGTTCCTGAGGTGCCTCAGGGCTTCCATGGGATAAGAAATCTCGCGGGGCACATGCTGTCAGCTTGATTTCTCATCTAGCATGCCTGCTGTAGGGAAGGGCAGGGGGATGATGGGGGGTAGATGAGAAAAGAAACGAGGAGGATGACGACAACGATGACGTAGTAGGACAACGAGACTGGTGACGAGAAGGGGGCAAGGAGGGTGAACCATCGCCTCTTCACTCCTCCGCGCTCCTCCCAAACCTCTGGCACCCTCCCACCCCTTCTGGACCGTCCGCACTGCTCCCAAAAACTCCCGAAACGGTCCCATGCCTCGACTCTCCTCCGCACCCCTCCGAGAACCTGCAGAACCTCCCATCCATCCGCAGCCCTCCGCACTCCGCCGACAACCTCTGGAACCCTCCCATCCCTCCTAAATCTTCTGCCCCCCCAAACAATATCCTCAGAACCCTCACGACCCTCCCAAACCCTCCGCACTCTCCAAAACATCGCCATCATCACCAGCATTATCATCACCACCACCACCACCATCACCACCACCACCACCACCACCACCACCATCATCATCATCATCATCATCATCATCATCATCATCATCATCATCATCATCATCATCATCATCATCATCATCATCATCATCATCATCATGATCATCATCATCATCATCATCATCATCACCATCACCACCATCATCATCATCATCATCATCATCATCCTCATTCTCATCCTCATCCTCATCCTCATCCTCATCCTCATCCTCATCCTCCTCATCATCAGCATCATCATCATCATCATCATCATCATCATCACCATTATCATCATCACAATCATCAACATCATACTCATCATCATAATCATCATCGTCGTCGTCTTCTTCTCATTCTCTTCAGCCCCGTGCGAAAAACAACTGGTGCTTTGCTACACGCACACTCACACATACACCCACCCGCCCAATTTCAATGTTCAATGCGGTATCGATTTGTTTTTTCGAACTTCGCCGGTCGCACGATCAACATTGAAATGGGGGGGCGGGGGGCTCACCAAACACCAATTGCTTCTCGTACGGGGTTGTAGGACAGAGTCAGACAGGGACAACTCGAAGATCTCTGAGATCCTGAGATCTGGCGATTCTGGAGGATGCATCAGGCACCGCTGTCGTTCTGGAGCGCTCCTGAGCGCCCTCGGGGCGTTCTACGCAGCTCTGGAGCGGTCGATCCCGGTCCTGGGCTCGCCCGAGAAGCGGTCCCGAGATGGCATAAGGCCGCGCCAAAACCCCGCGATCTGGCGTTGGGAAAAAAACATAACTCGTCTCCAAAAATCACGACTGGAACCCCAGACCCCATCTGTCAGCGACACTACGCGAGCCCGATCGATCTGTGATGGTCCTGGAACCAGACATTGGGCGAAAACGACCAGTGTGAAAAAAATGCAACGCCCAGATCTCAGGGAACGACCCCAGAAGCTGCCCTCGGACGGCGTGAGCCCGTCGGGGGCTCTCGAGGGCCCTTCCGGGACAGTTGCGGACAGCTGAGCCCCCTCTGTGCGATTCGTGATGAGCCACGAGACGCATGCGCAAACGTTTCGGGGAAGCCGTTATTTGAGGGTAGCATGCTGGCTTTGAATCCCCCCTCCAGCTCCATCACCCCCGCTGGCTTTGATACCCATCGTTGCCCTGCGAGTTTACATGCAGCCAGCCCACTCGTCGCATGATCTGGCCACGCGCGCTGTCGGATCCAAAAGGATATGGAGCTGCTGTTCGGACGACGCACGTGGAACAGCATCCCCTTGTAAAATACTACCCCTAGCTCATCATATACTTCCCTATCTTCCTCATCGTCCTCCTGCGATCACCTCACCTAATGACGCACTTCAGTACGTGTTGCTCCCTTACAACTTGGAGCTCTTCTTTGAATGTGATCAGACATGTGCCGAACGTATCGAAACATCTCTCCATAGAGGACACGCGAAGAGGGGGAAACATAGGAAAACACAACGGATGGGTGGGACGAACAATAGTGAAACACGCGCGCGCACAAGATGGATAATGCGACAGGAAGTCCACTCCTGGGCTTACAACATCTGGGCGCACTCCAGGTCAGTTTGCGAACTAAGGATTCCCTCTCCCTTCCCCCTCACCAGGCTGGTGGACGAAACCATTGTCCAAAAGCTTGGCAGGCGCCCCTGTGAAGGGTTGAAGAAACGCATGGCTGGGAAGGGACAAATTATCAGACGCCAGGCCTCATCATCTGCTCAACATGATCTATCAGGCCGAGCGTGCGCGCTGCTTGCGCACGGCCTGTAAAGGCCTAGGCTCGGCCGACGCACTGCCTGGACGCGGCCTGGTCAGCATCTTGGTGCAGACTGGGCACGGCCATGTACACCCTACACATGGCCCGAGCAAGGACACACATACACTACGCACGGCTTAGGCCTAGGCGCACCCACCCACAACACTGCCTACGGACATCATCAAGATTAGACTAGTTCGAACCCGTCAAGAACGTTTTAGGGTGGTCGCGACTTCCCACTTTCATTTGCTCCCCCTTGCTTAGATGAGCTACGCGTACGCTGGCTTAGCTTGACAGCACAAGGCTCAACCAGTGTTAGATTAGCTTATCGTTGGCTTGAACTTATATTTAGCGGTCGCTTAGACAACTGCTTCCTCTGATCTGGAGTAACTCTGTCCGCCTCATCTTGACGACTTATATACGTCCGCCGACGTTGACGTGCTTTATCAGACTGTCACGAACTACGCAACATCACTGCAATTATGACTCTATGATGTGATGATGCAACCGCTCCGCTTCGAACTGCTGATGCAGCCTGGCCGCACTGTAGCTTGAACCTGATGTGGGCTGCCGCTGAGCTGGGCCTCGCATTGGTTCTGCGGCCAAGCGTGTCACAGAAACCCTGACTCCAACATTACATGCATCTCTTGCGTGGCCGCCTTCGACTCCCGCCGGCAGAGCTGCCCTCGTTCTGCTTCCGCCCTCTCCCGCCGAGAAGAGACATCCCCTCCTTCCACCGGTCGAACGCGAAGCCTTTCCAGAAGCGCGCCATATGTGCTCCAGATTTCACAATAAAAGGAGGGTGGTCTGATTTGGGATGGGGTCAGATTTGAACCGTCTTGGCGGGTTCCAGTGGGTCTGGGCAAAACGCAGCCCTTCATGGCTTGTTTGGGGGGGTCTGGAATTGCCCGTCTGTGAGGGTTGTGACCCCCTCCCTTTTATGGCGAAATCTGGAGTACCCTTGCGTGATGCAACCTTCATAATCATAGCCCGATCCGGACATTCTTGGCGGGCGTCTATCGGACACCTCGGCGGTCTACTACACCAGAGGATACTCAGCATGAGCAAGACATTCGGCCCACGGGTGACCCCCGAGGTGGCCCACGAGGTCCACAATTTCGTACCCATGCTGTGACGGGAACGACGGGAAGAACATCGGAGCCGTTCTTGCGGGGCACCGGCCTTCATGAGGTGTCGAACGACGGACTCGAAGCGCTTCTTTGTCAAGAAGCTCTCGCCGTCCTCATCGACGAAATGTTTGAAGACCTGCATCTCCGCTCGGCCACGGGCGCGGGACATCGGCAGATGCGAGGCGGCGTGCGGGGGCGACCTGAAAGGCAGAAACATCAGGACAATCGAAAACCATAGTAGGAGCAGGCGGAGACGAATAGCTGAATGAGGGAGAGGACCCGGAGCAGCGTCACCCGAAGCAACAAGCAGGAGGAGCAGCAGCGGTGGCGCAACCGGCAGCGGCAGCACGAGTAACAGCAGCAAGAGCAGCCTCAGCTGGCTCGGGTGCAGGAGGACATTGACCAGGAGACGCAGCGGGAGGACGAGAGGAGCAGGGTCAGGCGCAGGGGATGCTCAACCAGGATTGCTGCATGGCCTTCGTACCCTTCTTCTTGTCTCCCCACTGCAGACTCGCTGGCCTGGGCATCCAGCGCCTGCGCACAGCTTAAGAAGAACGAGAGCGCGAGGACGAAGACGAGGAGGGCGACGCTGGCGAAGACGAGGGCGGGGGCGACGAAGCCAACGCCGACGAGGACGACGACGGGGAGGGCGAGGGCGCCGACGAGGATGTCGCCGACGAGGACGGACAGCACGAAAGCGAGGGAGACCACAAGGACGACGACGATGACGCCGAGGGGTGCTGAGGACGACGGCGAGGACGAGGAGGGCAGGGCCTTCTGCAGGCCCTCGTCGTCGGGCGCGGTGTCCAGTGCCTCCTCGCCTGAGCCGCCCGGCGCGCCAGGCCCAGATGAGGGGCAGGATGGATGGGGGTCAGCGCGATGAGGTCGACGGGGGGGGCTGGGGGGCAAGACAAGACGAGTCCGATCGCGAAGCGAATCCCCACCTGAAGTGCGCCCGAGCTGGTGGGGGGAGAGGGGAGGGGTGGGGAGGGGACGAGTGACAGGGGGAGACGGAATACAGATGAGGGCAAGGGGGGAGGAAGAAGGGCGGAGGGAGGGAGAAGGACGACGACGAATGATGAGGGAGGGAGGGAGGGAGGGGCGGAGGGGAGGACGAGGAGGGAGGAGGGGGAGGAGAGAGGACGAGGAAAAACGCGGAGGGAGGAGGGAGGGAGCCAAAGCATGAGAGACTGTGCAGTGAATCCTTATATGGCTTCTAGTTGGAGATGTGTGGAAGGATGGAAGCTTTGGGGCGAGAAGGGAGGATGAGGAGGACGAGGGGAGAAGGAGAGGACATGGAGGGATGAGGGACAAGCAAAGCGAGAGCAAGATCCCTGGCGGCTTTACGGGAGGGGAAGGAAGTGGAGCAGGAAGAGGAGAGACGAAGAGGGCAGACCACGGTCACGAGGATGATGTCCACGTTGATGATGTTGATGTTGTTGTTTAGGTTGTTGGCCCACGGTTTACAACAGCAGCGACTCCCGCCTGATACTTCCTCAGAATTCATTCAAATTTGCAATCGTGTGGGACTTCCTCTCAATCTATTCAGACGCCGCGCCCCCAACACTCAAGAATCACGCTCCTGCTCAGGATGTCCTCACGATTCACATAGATTTCGCGCACTCGCCAGAGGCTTCCTCCCGATCCATGCATGAATGACGCTTCAACGACCCGCCCGCTCGACTCCGCCGCGTGGGCCCGCCCGCTCGACTCGCCCGTTGGGGTCCGTCCGCCCGACCCGCCCGTCTGGTTCTGCCGCTTGTTTCCCTGCTCCCAACCCCCTCTCCTGCAAATCTCTGTCGTGCTCTATCCTTCTCTATCCCCGTTGCCTCTCCCCTCATCCCCTCCCCTGTTTTAAGGGGCTGCGGGTATCGAGGGCTTCGGGTTCATACATATATATGTGTGTATATATGTATATATATGTATATATATATAGGTATATGTATATAGGTACACACGTACCTATGTTTACTTGCATGTGTCTACACATGTGTATATATATATATGTATATACATGTATGCATCGAACGGCACGTGAGCGAATGAACAACAAACACACTACATTGAGGTCAAATGATTGTTACATGCTCACTTCTAAATAATACCCGTAACTATTGTTGATCCCTCCTGCGCGGACTCCACTCTATTTTTCCATTGCAGTGCCCCTCACGGGGCTCGCACCCTGTTTTTTACATACAAATGAAAGTCTTGGGGCTCAGCTTATACGGGAATCGCGCTCTCACGGGGGGCTTCCTTCCCATTTATTCAGACGCCGCGCCCTCGGCACTCAGGAATCACGCTCCATCTCTGGACTTCCTCACGCTTTACTTGGGACTCGCGCTATCGCCAGAGACTTCCTCGCGATCCATGCGCGACTGATGCTTCAGCGACCCGCCAGCTCGACCAAGCTTCTGGGCCCGCCAGCCCGCCCCGCCCGTTAGAAGCGGTCAACCCGACCCGCTCACCTGGTTCTGCTGCTTTTTTCCCGTTTCTAACCCCCCTCGTGATAATCTCCCCCTTGTCTCTTCCCTCCTCCCTCCCTTCCTTGTTTTAGGGGCTGCGCCAAATACACAGGGCAGGCAAGGAAGATATCCCCCCAAGGGGGTGCGATGGGAAAGGGAAGGGGCGGATATTCAAGGCTCGGGCTATACATGTTCAATGGCACGCCGATCCCTGCCGGCAAGTGTGAAACGCTGTTCCGTTTGCTCCGTTCTCGTCGTCGTCGTTGCCGCTGTCCTCCGCTTTCCTTTAAGCCCGTCCCAGAGTTTTCCTGCGCCCGTCGCAATTTCCCCCTTCCATTCCCTGAGCCTTCCCCCTCGGGCTCGTCATTGAGTCGACGAGAAGAGAAGCCCTTCCATTGATCCTTTCCTGTGGGGGGGGTCCCGGGGGAGGGGGTCGAGGGGGGTCGCAGGTCAGAATACCATTCCCAATGGGTTCCCGGGACCTACCAAAGCCCCAAACCCCCGAATGCCCAAAGAAGATCCCAAGACGATCCAAGAGGTCCCCGAACCACACAATGATCGGTCCAAGACGCCCAAGATAGCCCCCAGATGGCCCTGCAGGCTTCCAAAATGCCCCACGAGGCCTCCAAGAGCACTCCTGAGAGGACCCTTTAGTGATTTTCCATCGGTTGACAGAATTTGGCGTTCTCGACTTTTCAGCTTCCCGATACTCCAGCACGGCCCAAGAGGCTCCCACGATCGCCCCAACACGGCCCAAGATGCCTCAAAGAGGGCCCGGACCGAAGATGAACCGAAGGCGGCCCAAGACGCGTCGAAGACGGCCGAAGAGGCCCCCAAGACGGCTCCAAGTGCCCAGATGGGGGGTTCCGAGCGGGCACTTCGAGCCCTCAGCCCCGAGAGACTCCTATGAGTCCGCAAGAGGCCAAGAGGCTCTCGAGAGGCCCCAAGAGGCCCCAGGAGCCCCAAGAGGCTTCCAAGAGGCTCCTGGGTCGGCGGCACTGGCCGTGAGGCCTTCGCGATGATATCGGACAGTGATAAAGCTGTTTGTATTTTTGATGTTGTCGAAGTTGTTGTTATGCGTGTGATGATGACAAGGATGGGAATGGTGATAATGATTGACGATGGTGATCGGATGATTCAATGTACGAGGCCTTCTCCAAACGACACGACTGCACAAGATACCAGACATATCAAATTCTGGACAGGAGACATGCAACTAAATAGAAGCTACTGGTGCTAGAGCGCGCAGAGAAGGCATGAGAGGAAGGAGGACAACGGGGAGGAGTGGGGCGGCGAGGAAGAACGCAACTCAAGAATACAATGCGCGGGAGGCCGATATCAGTTGAGCTGCATTCATTGGCGTTCAATATGTCGGCGCACAGTCGTCAAATCAGTCTGGGTATCAACGGCCCACCCTACGTCGTCAGGGAGGAGTTGAACACGGTGGTCCAAATCTTCAAGCAAACTTCGGCGGCGCTCGATGGCATGGTGCGCCTCAAGCATATCCTGCCCCAGGGGGCCGAACACGCTCGGCCAGGTGAGCTTCGTGACGACCCGATGCAAACTGAACGTGCCGTTCAGCATGATGCCCAAGCTTCTTACGAAGGCAACCCAAGCCACCCCCACACCGACCACATCACAATTTATATGTTCGAAGCTCCTCTCTGGGGCCTGCGGCCCGACTAAACATACATACACTGCTCCAAATAACTTGGACTAATTATACATACTACACATCACATAAGGCACCACGCAGATGGCAACACGTAAGTTGCACAACATGGGTTGCTAGACATACACTGACTGGGGCCCACGTTCGCTCACATTCTTTCTCGTGGAACCGAAAACTGTTATGGACACGCCCAGACCTTGTTAATAAAATGTGGCATGCGCGAGAATCCTTGGAACATTGCTTCAATCGGGTCGTCGCGCACATGCGCCGGCGCACTTTCATAAACGAAAACGCGCGTTTCCTAAACCGCAGCAGCGGTTCTAGAACAACAAAAGACCGCGTCATAGAAATGACGTATGGAACCACGAATGTGGCGATGTGTACTATTTACTCGCCGTGGGGGCGTGTCGACGACATCACACGCGTTCCGAAAACATGTGAACATCGTCCTGGTGGGTGTGGGGCTGGGTTGTTTCTTGATCTTAATACGTGCAAGCGCAGCCGCCCAAGTGTCATGACCACCCTGCCAAGGACACAAAAGACGCGCAGGAACACAGGCGAGCCAAGACACGTCATCAGCAGCAGAACGATGAAGAACAGGATGACGAAAGAATACGGCACCACGGCCCAGAGTATCACCTGCAGATCTGAGCATATCCTCACCAGAACAACGATAAGTCGAGGTGCTAAGGGCAGGGGCACAATCGACCACCGATTGCACCGGGGAAGAAACCAAAGGGTCCGCAGGACGACGAACACAAGGAACAAATCTATGCGGACGATCGCGTGGAGGCCCACCGCGTCCAGGGTCTCCATCACCGTCATGACCATCAGGATCACTACCATCATGTGGTCATGAAATCGATCTGGGAGGCGAGGGGGGACGTGGTACGCTTCATAGAGACCTTTGGGATTTGCCTGATAATGAAGACGGTCCGTGATCAACAACAGGGGCGTCCAACAGCGAGTCGAGCATCGTCTGAACGAGAAGTTTCGCGAAGCTGTTGAGCACGGTGGCGTCCCAACAGGGTAAAAAGGACGAAGTGGAAACTCATGCGGGGGCAGTGCAAATTGAAGCGAGCTCGACATTGCCGCCCTTATGCCAGTTGGTCTGAAGCCAGCACAACCGAACTGAGTATGATGATGCGGATGATGATTATTACGGTGGTGGTGTTGGTTATGACGCTGATTATGGAACGTACTAGAATGAAGGTAGTGATGATGCTGCGGATGATGATGCTGCTGATGATGATGGTGGCGCTGATAAGCGATTATGTTTCGGATGCCAATGCTGATGATGCGAGTTAAGATGATGATGAGGTTGATGACGAAGAATAAGATGATGATGCGGATGCTGATGAAGATGGTGGCGATGATAGTCACAGTGATGATGATGATGCTGCTAGTAATGATGACGACGACGAGGATGATGCTGATGATGCTGGTGCTGCTGATAATGATGGTGGTGGTGACGGTGGTGGTGATGATGATGACGAGAAGGAATATTCTCTCGCTCCATCCTGGCGAGCGGTCTACGCGTGTGCGTGCCAGCGCCTCCGCGCGCGACCGCGGGGCAGACCCGCCGCCGGGCGCGAGGGGGCCGACGCGCCGCGCTCAGGAGCGGGGCCCTTGGCCGCCGAAGGCGATGTAGCCAGCGCGCGCTGGGGGGGGCGAGACATCGAAGTCA